GCCAGCCTCCCGCTTAGCAGTCAAATGCCTTAGGCACTACGCCACCAGAGCTCCCGAATAATGGTATAGCCATACTGATAGCCATACTTTAGAGCACTGCCCAGCCACTAGGTTTATGTGCGATGTGCCAGAATGCCTATGACATATTAAGTGGGAAATGCTGACTACAGAACAATTTGCAGCTATATTTATATTTTCGTTTTGAATATGGTAACTGTATCAACAAAGAGGAGCAGTCTGCAATCAGCTGCTAACCAAAAGGTTGGCAGTTCAAATCAGCCAGCGGCTCTGTGGAAGAAAGGCCCAGTGATCCGTTTCCACAAAGACTGTTGGTTGTTGTGGGCTGTTGTAGATTCCGACGCCTAGTGACCCCACATGACAGAGTAGAACTGCCCCGTAGGGTTTTCTTGATTATAATCTCTATAGAAGCATATCCCCAAGTCTTTCTCCTGCAGAACTACTGGGTGGGTTCAATTAGTTGGTGGCTGAGCACTTAAACATTGCACCACCAAGTTGTTGTTATGTGCCGTTGAGTCAGACCCGATTCATAGCAACCCCTCCTTGGGTTTCCAAGGTGGTATCACTATGGAAGTAGATTGCCAAATCTTCCTTCTGGAGAGTGGCTGGTGGGTTTGAACTGCCAGCCTTCTGGTTAGCAGTCAAGTGCCTTAGGCACTACGCTGCCAGAGCTCCCCTACGCTACCAGAGCACCACCTAGGCTCCTCCATAAAGCTGACAGCCAAGAAACCCCTATGGAGGAGTTCTCCTCTGTAACAAATGGAGTTGCTATGAGTTGAGGGGCTGACGCAATAGCAGCAAACAACATCCACAAAGATATACAAAAAATGACCCAAGGTTATACCCCCCTGGTCCTCTTTCAGAGCTGAATTTTCAGTGTATGAAGTTCATTTATAATTAGAATAGATTATATCTGTTCACCTCTGTCTTCATACGTCCACTGCCTCATTCGGCAAACATTTACTGAGTGCCTACTACATACAGCCTTTGGCTGGGCACCAAGAGTGTAGAATCAGCCCTTCCCTCATGGGCTTGTGCACTTAAGGAAGTTCAGATCTTACTAGAGTATTATTATGAATACTCACAGAAGTCAGTATGGTGTGACCTACAGAGGTGGCTCTCAGGAAGGAAGGGACTGGAATTTACAAGACTAGAGCACCTAAGTCCAGTGGGGATGGAGGTGGGTAGGGAAGGCCCTGCCCCACCCTTCCAGGCCCAATTCAAATATCCCTTCCTCTGTGAAGCTTCCTCTGACTCCCCAGATGAAAGTGACTTTTCCCACCTTAGGTCTCGGGGGTCCTGTGGGTTAACCACAGGGAGGGCACCAAGGGAGGCCAGTTTGGGTAGGGATGAGGTTGGAAGAGGAGGGAGGAGAGGGACCAGTCCACGTCTTAGAGTGTTTTCTACCTGGGGACCCAAGGTCTGTGTTTAGATCTGTCTTCCCATTGTCAACTGTAAGCCCCTTGAGGGCAGGGATGGGCGTCTGTCCATCTGTGCCTTCCTAGCTGATGCTTGTAGGAGGAATGAGTGAGAAAGCTTCAAGACTGGGCCTGTAGGTTCGTCCCTGCTTACAGGAGGTCTCAACTCCAGCCTTCAGATACCCTTCCTCTAGGGAGAGGGGCTGGGTTCCCAGCTTTGCAGCCAAAAGCAGCACCCCCAACAGACTTCAACCCAGAACTTCAGGGCCTGGTGCTGAGGGGAGGCTGAGGCCCAGAGTGGGTGCACAGCTCAGGCCCTGAGCCCTGTGCTCTGTTCCTTTGCTCTCTGGGTGGAACACTGGTGGGGGAGCGGCAGCCTCACTGCCCCCTGCCCACACATGTAGTTTGTCATGAGTCCTCTCCCCTTCCCAGCCCAGACTGACTGCCCCTCCCAGGCGCTTTCCTGAGCATGTCTAAGGTGCGTGGGCCAGAGCCTGAATGGTGGACACAGCCTGGGACAGGCCAAGTGCCATGGACTGGGGGCAGCGTGGGCAGTGCTCACCAATGAAGTTTCCCAGGTAGAGTCCAGGAAGTACCTAGGGGAAAGACAGGCAGGGGGTCAGGGGTCAGGGGCTGCTCCCTCTTCCCACCCCTAGCAACTGAGGGCCCATAGCCCCTCTTGGGCCCATGAAGGATGTCAAGCCTCTAAGGATGTCATCTCCCTCCCCCTTGTGGGCCCCGGGCCCTTAGTGAGAGGGATCTGGGGCTCTGGGGAGGCAGGAGCGGGTCAACCACAAGGAGGGCATCAAGGGAGGCCAGTTTGGGTAGGGATGAGGTGGGAAGAGGACAGAGGAGAGGGAGAGAGGGGCAGTAAGACCTAGGGGGTAGAGTAAGGGAAGCAGAGAGGAGGACGCAAAGAGAGGGGTGGACTTGACAAGGGGGTGGCAGGGAATTCGGGGGTGGGGTGG